GAAAGCCCATCACTTTGCTGAGAATAACAGCCCTGCTCATGTCTTAAGTGGTAGCCTCCCAAGAGCTCAAAACCCACAAGGACCAACTGCATTGGGGTCTGTCTGGGTGGAGGGGAGGCATGGAGTGGGGGTGTTGTTGATGGGCTGTTGTCTGGTGAAGCGGGAAACCAGACACTCCCTGCCTCCATCTCAGCTCCTCCTTTGAGGAGCCCCTGGCCACATCTTCTTGCCCAGTAGCCTCAGAAGAGCTTGGCCAAGGCCAGAGGACACTGCACATGGGCAGGAAGAGAAGGGGGCTGGAGAGAGAACAAGGTGAGAGAGGACCACAAGCCTTGCTTTCCTCTCTGGCTGCCTCACTCCATGCTCCCAACCCACAGACCTGGATCAGGCGGCCAGCACGCCCCTCCCCAGACCTGCCCATGAGCCAGCTCATGCCTGTTCCCCTCCATCTATTCAAGCCCTGCCTCCTCCAGGAAGCCTTCCCTTCCAGGTCCAGCCCAGGAAGCGTCAGAAACACAAGAATCCAGCCTTAGCCCACCTTGCTTAGATGACTGTTCCTGCCCAGGACAACTCTCCCATCCTATCCTTGTTGCATAAGTTTGGGTTCCTGGGTTGAAGAACAGTGGTTGGTTTTTTTCTGTGCCTTCCAGGGATGGAGGTAGGCCTGTGGCCTGGGAGTCTGGCTGCCTCTTGGCCTCCTGGAGGATGGAGGAGGCTGGCCTTCCTGACTCAAAGGCCAGCATGGAGGGTACAAGGGTACAAGGTAGAAGGGAATTGCTCTGCCTTCTTAGGACAGAATGAGGCCCAATCATGACACACCTGGCATCTCGCCTGGAGCAATCATTTTATTTTTTTAATGTTTTTATTGATTTTTTTTTTTAGAGAGGGGGAAGGGGGAGGAAGAGAGAGAAAGAAACATCGATGTGAGAGAGAAACATCAATGAGTTGCCTCACACCCTGAGCCTGGATTGAACCTGCAATCCCGGGCCTCTGCCCTGGCCAGGAATCGAATCAGTAACCTTTTGGTGCACAGGATGATGCTCAGCCAACTGAGCAACACTAGCCAGGGCTGAAGCAATCTTAATCTCAACCTGTTTCCCCACCTCCAAGTTTCCCAGGTGAGTGAGCAGCAGGGCTATGGTGGACTATGTCAAAAGGTCACAAGACCTCTCATTTTACCACCATCCATCTAAATGCTCTGCCTGGCATACATCCTTTTCAGTCTGCCTAATTATCTCCTTCCCTAGGAGCTTCTAGGAGCATCCTCTGGTCTCCCAAGTTTCAGGGATCTGCTCAGCCAGGACCCCAACAGCCAGAACAGACCTGAACTTGATCCCTCTCCTATCCCTTGTCTTCTGGGGGCTGCCTGGGATTGGCACACAGGACAAGCTAGGTGGCCTGCATCCTGGGCTTCCAAAGCCCTGCCCAGGAGGAGGCCAGACCTTGACAGTTGTTCATGCTCTGAGGCTTTGAGGAGTGTGGAAGACCAAGAGGACATTATGGGCAGGTGCTGGAGGTGGCCTTAGAGACCTGGGAGGCAGCTTGAGGGCTGGCAGATTGGGGTGGGGTCAGAGATCTCAAACAGTGTGGCACACAAACCTCTCTGGGGCAGCATGTGTGTGTGTGTGTGTGTGTGTGTGTGTAGGCAGGGACAGTGACACACAGGTTCCACCCCAAGGTGTATGCCCTGGAGAGTGGTCAGAAGACAGTGGAGGGGGGGTAGCTCAGGAGCTTGTGTGCTATCCATCAATGTCCTGCACTTTTACTTTTCCACCACTGACCTCTGCTCACAGCAGCAGCCCCTGGGAACTAGACCACACATTTGCCTTAGTTATGACAGAAGGACAGCAAAGTCCTTTGTCATCCCTCCCACTGACAGCTGTGCTTGGGCCTGGACCCCCATGGGGCCACCTACCTGGAGTTTGTCAGACACACACATACCCTTCCAGCACCCAGACAGGCTGGGTTGCGGGGGTGGGGGTTACATTTCCCTGCAGCTTGGGACCCAGGACTGCTGCACTGTGCCTCAATGCCCTCCTCACTATAGCTGGATTAAGCCTGAGCCCCAGGACAGTGGGGTAACACAACTCCCCTAAGCCCTGCTAGAGGCCAGACTAGGACTCTAGGGATGGAGAGGGAGGGCTTCAGTCTTGCAGACAGCTGTGTGGAAGCAGGGCCTGGGGAGGTCCCTGGGCTCTGAGACTGCACTAGAGACCTGAGTTCCCACAGGGTCCTAAGGGTCTTAAAACTCAGCCTCCCATGTGCCCAGCTATGGGCACAGAATAGGGGTTGGGAGCACTCCACCTGCTAAAAGCTCCCTCCTTCCCCTGGGGCCTCACCCCTCTGGAGTTATATCTCCACTCACCTAGCCCTGACCCACCTCTCTGCTGTGTGTCTGAGGGAAGGGAGGAGAGATGCTTGCTTTAACTCTTTCTATGCCTGAGTGAAGTCAGCACTGGTAGTAGGCTCCCTTGGCCTTGCTCATGGTCCTTCCTGTCTCTTTCCACCTGGCATTTCTCCTGCCAGACACCCAGGAGCTTGTGTAGAGAAGGGAAGATGACAAGAGGCCAAAGATATCAAGAAGTTGAAAGGCAGGCTCACAGTATGGTCATGAGTTTCAACCTGAATTCTGTCATTGCACTGCTTGTGACTTGTGTCCCTCACTCACCCTTGGTTCTGTCTTCTTGGTGCACTGAGAAGCCCCTAGGGGATACAGAAAAACTGTAAGTGGTACAGCAGCAGGCTTGATGTTTGGCGTGTAGAAAAACTGACTTCCTCCTTACACACTTTCCTGGAACAGCCCCTCCCTCAGTGCTTCCATGGAGGAGTGGAGGCGAGCATCCCATGGGGAATGCACAGAGCAAGCAGACAAGAGAGAGAGCTGGTGAAGGCTGCTGAGAGCTCTGAGGCCTCTGACTTTGAGGGCAGCTGTCAGGAGAAAGAACCAGGTCACAGAGAGGCAGAAAGAGGGGCACAGATTGCACCCTTCAGTCAGCAGACATCATAGAGCCCAAGGGAGGGACCTGAGTGTGGGGCAGGCTGAGCTCTAGGGCCTTCCAGCAGCGATGTCTTCTCTCAAGCTTGGCAGCCCCCTTGGCAGGGTGGGCCCTGAGTCTGAGGAGGGCTCCAGCTCTCTGGGAGACCCACCCCTGCTCCCCTGCTCATCTCAGCCCTCCATCATCAGCACTTCCCTTTCTCCCCTTCATGTGGCCCTCAGTCAGTCCCATTGAGAAACACCCAGGTTGTTTTATACCACAAATGAAGGACTATCAGGCCCTGGGCCTTCTGTGTGCAGGACCTTCACACACCTTCTCCTAGCCCTTATAAGCACCCTCAAAGGGCAACACTGCTCATAGAGGAGGCTACTACGGCTCAGAGAGGGGAGGCGACTTGGCTAGGAGATAACTGGGCTCAAAACCTAGCTCTGTGTGTCTCCAAAGCCTGTACTCTTTCTAGGACTCTACACCCTGGTCATAGCAGCCAAAGACCCCCATTTGTAGACCCAGAATTGGGGTCACAATGGGGAGACACCAGGCCAAGGACAATTAAAAAAAGTATTATTATTATTAACACTGCATGGTATTTAACAATGTGGCAGGCACTTTACACATATTATTTCACTCCATGCCCACAACAACCCTGCACTTATCATCCCCACTTCACACGAAGGAAGGAAGGCTCAGCAAGGTTACATACCTGCCCAAATCACACAGCCAGTAAGGTACAGAGCTAGGAGGAACCCAGATGGTCTGAATCAGGCACCCTGTTGTCATCACCATGACACACTGTCCCTCAGTCAAAGCAGAAGGGAGTTCTCAGTTGACCCCTGGAGCTTGGAGATGGGACTTGCTCAAGATTGGTTATCCACAGGGTAGGGCTGTGGCAACTAGCAAACAAGGAGACAGGACACTCAAGTCCAGAGGACGGAAGGAGCAGTGAGGACCAGAGGGCTTCATGGAAGAGAGGAACAAGCTGGGCTGGAAGGACCACAGGCTGGTGTTGCTAAGAGATGGGGCAGATTGACTCCCATGCCCCACACTCCCTTTGGGGACTTCTGGGAGCGGGGCCAAGGCTGGTGAAGACACCATCTCTGCTTCCTGCCCTGGGGTGCTATTTGTGCACCCGAGTGTGTGGTAAGGCTCCCCCTGCTGCAGGCTCTCTGAGTGTCCCCTTCCCTGTGACTGCTGCACCATTTACAGCCCCGACATAAAAACCTCCTCAACAGAGCAAGTATTAACTCCCTTAATGAGCTGTTGGATGGCTCTGGATCTCAGGGACACTTATCCCAGAGATCTGTGGGATGCACTGGGATACAGAGGGCCCGAGCTACAGCCTCACCTTGGACAGCTTGGCACTGCACCCCCTGTGAGTGCTTGAGGTCCAGAAACCCCATCCCACCCCACCCCATGTCCAGTTCCAGGTGCCCAGCCCAGGGCCCCCGCACACAGTGCGTGCTACAGAAGGTGGTAGCATGTGTGTGCTCCATTGAAGGGTTCAGAGCCGGGGGAGCTGGGCTGAGCTTTGGGAATCTGGGTCATAAGCTTAGGGAAGTAAAGGCAAAGGTGAGGCCAGCCAGGTGGTACGACACAGCCACCCTGCCCAGAGATTTCCTCCCACCAAACAGAACCTAGAGAAGATGGTCAAGACGATGACGGGGAGTCTGTATACACAGGCGCCTGCTGGGGAGCCCTGCACTGGCAGGGACAGCAGGTCAGAGAGGCAAGGTGTCTCCCTCACTCTCACCCTACCCTGAGCTCTGGTGCCTGAGTCCGTGGGAAGGCTTCAGAGGGCCAGTGAGACAGTGTGGTCACCCAGGCAAGCAGGGCAGTGGAAGAGAGACCTGGCTCCCTCTGGGCCTGGGATGACATGAGTGTTGCCTGGGAAGGAGCTCTTTCTGCTCTGTCCACTCTTTGCCCAGACTTATAGACCATGGAGTCAGGAGGGGTGAGGAGCAGGCAGGACACCCTCCCTCTAACCTAGCCTGCCCCTCTCCTCCCCAGGAAAACCACATCTGAGGAAGCAAAGAACCAGAACTCCAAGGCAGTCACATCTGTGACCTTGGAGCCTACCAAAGCCCCCATCTGGGGGGACACAGTCACAGTGGAGATCCAAGCTGAGGATGTGGGGCGAGAAGGTGAGACAGGGGCTGGGTGGGCCTGGTGTGTGTGGGAGGGGTCAGGAGCAGGCTCCCTCTCAACTCAGCTGGAAACCACCTGAATGCCTCCTTGGGCTCAGTTAAAAGCACTTTAAAGAAAAAAGAATCATAATACTGTCATGCCTCATCTACCCAGCCTGCTGGAAAAATGAGTTGTCCTACCTAAATGAATTTTCCAGATGATGGAAGCTTATCTTCTTTATGACCATTGTTATTATTTCCATGGTTGTTACTGCTGCGTATCCCGTAGACGGGGCTCATTGCAGCGTCCTGGACCCCCCACAGATCGCTCAGAGCAGCCACACCGCCCGGAGGAACAACACTGCTCCCACTGCTTAGATGGGAACACTGAGGTTCAGGGAACTTAAATAACTGGCTCAAGCTCAAGAAATCAGTAAGTGGGGAAGGGAGGACTCAGCATTACATGCTCTCGCTGTAGGCCCAGGATTCTAGCTATTTTCCTAGAATGCTTCTCACCCTGCCTCCTCCTCCTGGCCAGTGGCCACTGTCACAGTTGCGTACCTATGCTCCCCAAGGTCGCGGCCTGCTCTCATAGAAACTGCCTGATGATTCTCACTCCTCCACCCCCGGAAGCCTTTCCAGTCCCCATTTCTTAACAAATTCAAACACTGCAGGCAATTTAATGTACCAATGTACACACATGTGTTTGCACACTTGTGTTTTCTCCATTGGGGGCCTGAGCAGACAAGGGCTCAGGCTGGGCTCACAGGAGTAATGACTGGCTGATGCCAGTACTGCGGTGAGCGCTGGCATCGGGCACTGCCAGCACAGACCCACAGGTGCCTGTGATGTCTGGTCTTATCTAGTCAGAAGAACCTCAGGCTCCCCTCTCAGAGGACAGGCTTTACTTCCTCCATGAAACCTTACCAAGCTTCACAGAGCAGAAAGCCAGCTGCTAAAGACAGTGAAAGGGGAGAGAGGAAAAGAATGAAGAGGGACATAAATAAAAGGGAAAGAGGCTAGTGCTGGGTCAAGCCAGAGGATTTTTTTCCACCATAAAGGAATAGGCGGGGCTGTTGGAATGATATGAGAAAATGTGAAAGAGGAGGGAAAAATTGACCTAGGACTTCATACAAATGCAGGTGTGCACCTGTGTGTGCATGTCTTTGTGAATGTCTGCAAGCTGGCTCGTGTATATGTGAACACTGTGTGTGAAAGTGTGCTTGTGACTGTGCCTGTGGGCATGCATGTCTGTGCATGTGTGTGTGTTTGTGTGTGTGCATCTATGTGGCTGATGGGAAGGTTGGGCTTGTGGTGAATGAACCTGGACTCGGTCCTGCCCTGGGCTCTACACATCTGGGGTAACACAAGAAAGGATGTGATGAAAGGAATGGCCTTGGGCTTATCTGTGCAGCAGAGAGGGAAGTAGGACTCCCTGTAGAAGGGACAGGAGGTGGGGACCCTGCAGCAGGCAGGGAAAATTGGCAGATGCTTCTTTGCAGATTGAAGTAGCTGGATGCTTGTTAGAAATGGTTGCTGTGGTGATGTCTGCAGTGGGAGGGTGGGGGAGATGGGGGACCTGCCAAAAGGAGGGGGAAGGGCAGGAGGTAACTCAGTGATGTGTTAATAAAAGCAAAGGGGAGTTGCAGACCCTCTGTCAGGGCCAAAGCAGGCTGGTGGAAGAAATGGCTTGCTGGCCATGCAAAGGGCAGTGGGGGACTGAGGGGCACAGTGCCCAGAGAAGAAGTTGATGAAGCGTGTTTGTAGCATGGAGACAGGAACAGGGAGGATGGCTATCCATTCACCCCAATTCCAGCTCGTCTGCTGGTTGCCCACACAGAGACTGGGGTAGGGGGAGAAAAGCAGGACACTCACCCCTTGTTTGACCTCAGCAAATTCCAACCGGGTTTGGGGACTCAGGGCGCATCTTAGTGGTCATGAGGGGCTGAAGCCTCCACAGCTACTGTTGTAGCTTTCGCTGGAGGCACTGGGAATCCCTCAGCTGAGTCTTTTCCTCCTGCTCAAGGCTGGGTGACTGTATGGAGCACAACAGATGGTTAACGAGGAGAAAAATAGTGGCAGCTACAAGGAGCACTTGCTTAGAATTTTATAGCTTGAAAAACACATTCCCCTCCCTACAACAAGATTAGGACAGGGACAGGGTTTTTCTTTTTAAAGTTTTAAGATTTTACAGAGCAGGAATATGAAGCTCAGAGAGGTTAAATGACTGGCTAAATATCACAGAGCAAGTTTGTGTGTTGGTACTAGAACCAGACTTGCTGGCTTCAATTCCCTTGCCTTACTCTAGGTTTTCAAGGCAGCCTCAAGTCCTTTTGGTGCAGTTTTCCCTCTTTCCTCTGAACATGGGACCCCATATGGCCAGCTTTGGAGGAATTTGGCAAGTGTCTTTCCCTCTGTGTGTCCAGGGTAGCTATGGGGAGAAGAAAGTAAGAGTAATCAGTAAAGCTGTCAGCTTTCACCTCCACCCCCTAATCCAAATGACCCACCCAGCTCCAAGTGACCCAGCAGCACTGAGCTTCCAGCCTGCCTAGCCAGCAGAGTGGGCAGCTGTCCTGGTTCTGAAATGTCATTGTCTCAGGAAGGGAGGCAGAGGCCAAGGGAGCTACCCAAGAGTACACCTGTCCACCTCAGTCCTCTCTCTCTCTCTCTCCCATTCTTCTCTAGATCTCTCTTTTATCTCCTTTCCTCCTCCATCTCCTTCAACACTTCTCTCTCCTTCATCTACCCTTCTCCTCCTTTCTTCTCTCCTCAGCTCCTCTCCTCTTCAAATCATAGACTTCCAGAGTAGGAAATGCCTCAAGAGTCACCAAATTCAGCCTCTCCCATCAGCCATTTACTAGCTGTGATGCTGATCAAGATTTATATAACCTCTCTGAGATCCAGTGTCCACATTTTAAAAATAGAGATGGTGAGGTGATTCCTATTAAGGGGTTGTGATGGGGATTTGTTGGAATAGACTCAGAAGCACCCATCCCCATGCCTGCCACACAGTAGGTGCTCACCAAGTAATACTGCCATGATTATTTCCAAGTCATTGATTTTCTCCTTGGAGTTCATCCCAAAGTTTATGCATTTTATGGCCAAATGTAGTGTCTTTAGAGGGAGTTTTCTAAATTGTGCATCATTCTTAGTGCTTAGTTTTCATGTACTCAGAGTAGACTTTTATTGATATTTGTATTGAAGATTCCTTGAGCAGACCTCTTTTCCCCATTTATAAAGTGTGAGAGATAATCTCTACCTGAGGAACAAGTGAGAGTGTTTGTGACCAAGGGAAGGAGCCTTATTCCTGGAAAGGGGTACTATTCCTGCTAGCTTGTGTGTCTTTGTGCAAGCACATGTGTGTGTGTTGCCATGGGGGCTGGGCTCAGTTCTGAAGCACGTGTCCATCCCTGGGCTGGTAGTTTCTAGACCACAGGCAAGAATTGCATCTTTGGGTTCTTGCAGCACTCAGCATAGAGCCTTGTCCTGTGCAGGGCCTTAGTCCTGCTTGTTAAGTGTGCCTGTGTATGTTCCACACGTGTGCATGCATGTGGATTCCTCAGTGTGGTCCCTGCTCCCCTACCCTCAGCAATGTCTCTCACCTCAGTGTGAGGGATGGTGATCAACTAAGCCTGATCTTAACTGTGTGCTCACTTTTCCTCTCTCCAGATGTGATCCTTAAGGTGATGGATAACAAAAAAAATGAGGAGCTGTTGACCTATCAAATCCCCATCAAGTACTTGCGTGTCTTCCACCCCTACCACTTTGAGCTGGTAAAGGTGAGTCAGAGCCCTGGACTCTGGCCCACACAGGCCTGGGACAGGTGGGGGGAGCCCCCAGCTATTCCCTCAGAGTATCCCTGGGCATCCATGCTCACCCTGCAGTATGACCAGTCTAGGACCATGTGGGGCTCAGGAAACATAGCTCTTGGCAAAGAAAAAGGAATGATACCCATACAAATTTGGAATTCTCCAAATTCGTCTTCATAAAACAGCCCAATTGGCATAGAACATCTACCACATTAAATGAATACACCAACTGAAGATGTGTTCTGATTTCATATATGTTGAAAGAGATGGAATGTATCTAAAAATCAAAGCAATACAGTATTTATGAAGTACCTGGTATGTTCCAGGGCCTAGGCTAGGTGGTGTACACACCATCCCTAATCCTCAAGATGAATTACACTTTGCATACGTAGGACTGAGACCCAGGAGAGAGGAATCCTCTCATCCTAGGTCACAGAGCAAGTGAGCAGAGTCAAGGATGAACCCAAGTCATGCCATCTCCCAAAACAGTTCGCTCTGTGCTGCCTCCACATGCTACTTTGGCAGGAGAAAGCCCGAGACGAGTTGGGGTATATGGGAAATAAGGTGTTCCCTGGAATGCACCTATCTAGTGGGCCTCAGGCCCCTCATTTTATGGTCTGAACCTTCCAGGCCAGCTCCCCTGCCCACCCCCTCTCCCCAGTGCTGATTGGTAGAAAGGAGAATTTACTTTCTCATTGATCAAGTAATTATTAAGCACCTACTGTGTGCCAGGCACTGGGCCAGAGAAGAGCAGAAGCATTTCCCTCTCCTCCACTGTGTACTCCAGGTCCCTACAGTGGTTCAGAGCAAAGAACAATGTGAAGTTGGATTGCTTGGGTTCCTCTCTCAGGTCTTCTGCTTGCTAGCTGTGTATCCATAGGGAGCTGCTTAACCTCCAGCCTCCATTCCTCATCAACAAAATTAAGACAATATACCTCCTAACATGGCCTTTTGGAGGGTCAAGTACAGTGATGAGCATAAAGCACCTAGCAAGGTGCTCAGCACATAACAGGTGTTCAGTTCAGGCTAGTTCCCTTCCTCCCTCCCTTCCCCAGGCCCTGGAACTGACGTCCTTTTCAAGTGACTCCTCAACCATGATCTCAGGGTCCTGCATGTTCCCTAAGCCCCAAGGAGATCTCTACACTCAGGGCCTCAGGGTGAGGCAAAGAAGCAAAGCCCAGAGAGATTAGTGACTCACCTGGGAGACTCAGCACTTCAGCTGTAGCTCTGGGAGCATCACCCAGGCCTCCTGGCTCTCTGTCCAAATGTGGTTATCACATCTTTACAATGAGAGCTGGCAGATGTGGCCCTTGCGAGGGCGATGAAATATTCAAATAGACAAGGGAAGATTTATTATATTGATCTCCTTGGAAGGGCTCACAGGGAGCCTTTAATTATCAGCTCGGCGCCCCGGTGGAGCAATGCCAGTGCTCATCTACAGAGGGCTGGATTTATGGCCAAGGTCTGCTTCTTAGTCAAGCTTCCTTTTCTGTCTTCTTCCCTGACCCTGTTCCCAGCCCACGGAGACTGGGAAAGCTGACGAAGCCACTGCCAAGACCCGACTCTATGCAACAGTTGTCCGGAAGGGCAGCTTCATCCCTCGCCAAGTCAACTGTAACCACACAGCTCTGGAGGTGCCAGACTGGGGCCCTCAGGAGCAGGGCAGGGTGGAAAGGGGCCAAGTTTTGACAGGCTCCAGGCCTGGCCCTTGGCTACCTCTGGTTGAGCTGACAGTGTGGGGCAGAGGTGTCTGGGGAAGAAATCAAGAAGGGAAAAGCAACTGGGACTTTCAAAATAGCTGAAGTGGTTTGTGAAGAATAGCCCTGGGATGGCAGGGATGATGGGGATGGAGATGAATGATGCCTAACACTTTCCAGCACTTTCCAGGCATACAGCCCTGCGCTAAGCCTGTCTTCCTTTGCTCCTCACACATTATGCAAGCAGTGCTGCAGGGAGGACGGAGGCTCCCAAAGCTCAATGTCTGTCTGAATCTCATGGGGGCAGGAAAAGCCCCCCACCTTGGCTCACATCTCCTGATTGTTTCTCTCCTGTTCTGTCCCTCCCAGAGTGGTGGCCCCTGACCTAGGGCCTACATCCCATAAGCGAAAGTTTTAGGGCCACCCTACATCTCCATGAGTCCTGTTTCTGAAGCACTTTGGCTGGCTTTCTAATTAGGTATTCATTCACTCATTCACTTATTCATTCATTCATTCAACAACTATTTATGGAGCCTCTTTCATTAGCCACGCCAGGGCCAGGCCCTGCTTACACATATACCTAAACAACAAAACTGTTGTTTTCTATCAAAGCCTTTTACAATCTCAGGAGGACTAGCAATGCTCCAGGAAGATATAATCCAGAGACCTAACCCTTCTCCTCTCCCTACCTCTCAAGTCTTCTAACTGCCCAGGAGTGACAGATCCAAATCCAGTCATGGCCTGAGTATGACCAGGTGGAGGCAGGGGGTCCCAAGCTTCAGGCTTCCCCTGCCCCAAAGTGGGTGACCTGATCCACCCATAACACTGTGAGCTGGCAGGGTAAGAGTGTTCTTCAGTCCCATTTCACAGCTGGGGACATGGAGCCCCACGGGCAGTCTGGTATGGGAGTGCAGATCTCCCGGCTCACACATCTGCTTCCCCACAACCACCCCATGGATGCCAGAATCTGTCGGACCTGTAGGCACCTTCTGCTCCCATCTCCCCACTCTTCTATTATGCCCTTTCCTGAGGATGACCAGTAACTGCACACAGAACACCTTGGCCTGTAGGGGGCCTGCTGTAGATCTGCCCCCACCCCCTGTAGAGTCTGGGTCTCTCTGCCCTCCAGTACCCTGCCCACCCCCCTGCCCCAGCATAGATGTCCTCCTGTAGGCTCCTGAGGGCAAACCAGAGAACACAGTGGGAGAAGAATTGCTCCTATTACTCACAGAGCTATCATGAGCAGGTGTGCTTGGGCAGCTGTCTCATTCAACACCTAACCATTCAGCCCAGAACAGTGGTAAATTAGTCCCCGCACCCCACCACCTTTCAGGCCTCCCTCTTAGCCTTTAAACCTGTTGGAGTCCCTGTAAACAACAGAGTCTGACAGCATTCCAGTAAAATCCCTCAGGCCCAGGCTCCCATCCCTATCCAAAGTTTGAAATGCCATCATCAGAGATTTGGTCATTTGAATTTGGTGAAGGGGTTCAGTCTCCAGAGGCCCCAGTGACAGCTGAAAGGCCCTAAGTACTATTTTAAACCCTTTTCAGCTCACACCTGTGTGGAGTTAGCTCGCAGTCAGCTGAGATGGGTCCTGACCAAGGGGCTTAGGAGAGAGTGCTGCTGGGGTGGAGGAAAGGAGAAAAGGGAGAGGGATCCAGAATAAGACCCCAATCCTAGTCACCCTCCTCCCATTGAAGGTCAGAGCTAGAAGGACCAGGGAAAGTATGGTCAACCTCTCAGTGTACGAGTTAGGACACTGAGGCCCAGCTGGTGCGGGGACTGGCCATGGTGACATAGTGACCTAGATTTAGTGAGTGGCTGAGCTGGAGTAGACCTGTAGTAAGGATCCCCACCCAGCCTCCAAGGCCAGCTCAACCCCAGCCCCTCCCTGAGGCCACTGCTGGTCTCCTCCTTCATCCCCTCCTAGGTCTCTATGGCTCTGCTTCTCTCACCCTCATAGTCAGCTTCTTCCTCCCCTTTCCCCCTTCATTCATGGCATTCATTTATCCCACAAACACACATGGAGCTTCTATTCTGTGCCAGGTGCTTTTGCTAAAAGCTGGAAATGCAGCAGTCAATGAGGTAGATATCATCCTTGGCCCTGTGGAACCTGGGTTCTAGTCAAATGGACAGAAAATAAATGAGAAAAATATCAGAATAAACACAAGCTATGATGGGTGCTACAGAAGAGGCCATCCAGGGGCTGAGAGAGGGGCTACTTTATTTATTTATCTGGCCTTGGAGGCTAGGTGGGGATCCTTACTACAGGTCTACTCCAGCTCAGCCACTCACTAAATCTGGGTCACTATGTCACCATGGCCAGTCCCTGCTCCACTCTGGGCCTCAGTGTCCTAACTTGTACACTGAGAGGTTGACCATACTTTCCCTGGTCCTTCTAGCTCTGACCTTCAATGGGAGGAGAGTGGCTAGGAGTGGGCTACTTTATTTATTTTTATTATTATTTTTAATTCTCACCCTAGGATATTTTTTCCAGAGAGTGGAAGGGAGAGAGAGACAGACAGACAGAGATAGAGAAACATCAATGGGAGAGAGACACATAGATTGGTTGGCTCCTGCGTGAGCCCCTTGACCGGGGCCAGGGATCGAGCCTGTAACCAAGGTACGTGCCCTTGGCCGGAATCAAACCCGGGACCGTTCAGTCCAAGGGCTGACACTCTAAACAGAGACAAACTGGCTAGGGTGCGTGGACTACTTTAGTAAGAGTGGTCACAGAAGAGTGGTAACAATTAAGCTCTAAAGGAAGAGAAAGAGCTAGCCTCCGAGAGTCGGTGGGGGTGGGTGGGGGTGGGAGTCTAGGCAGATAGATCAGCACATGCAAAGACCCTGAGGCAGAAACAAGTGGGGCATGTTGAAGAGTGACACAAAAGAGGCTGGAGCAAAAAGAGGAGGACTGGGGTGCTGGCAGGAGATGTGGGCCAAGGGGCAGACAGGCCAATGCATGCAGATCTTGACTATCATGCTAAAAGTTATGGCATTTATTCTGAAGGTAGTGGAGGTGGGGGTGGTCATTGCTGGGTCTCAAGCAGCGGAATGACATAATCCAATTTCTTTTTAAGAAGGCAATTTTTGCCACGGTGTATCAAAGTGCCTGGGAAAGGGAATGGGTTGGGGGCAGGAACAGAAGTAGAGGCAAGTGAGGGATGAGAGAAGTAAAAGGAACCACAGGAATCTCAGCTGGGGGAGTTGGGTGAGGATTGAGGGGAGAATGGTAGCCCATAGGTGGGCAAGGGGAGAGGGCTCAGAGCCTGATCAGGAGCTGCCTGGGATGCAGTGGAGGGTGTGGGACAGATTCCTTGTCTCCTCCCCCTGCCCACCCAGTGCCTGGCACAGGCCTGAAGGACTGCACCTTGAGCAGAGGAAGACCCCAGTGAGGCAGGAGCAGGCAGGAGCAGGTGCAGAGGTGTGGAGGCAGAAATGAGCCCACTGTTGGAAACAAAGATGGCAGGCAGGCTGGCTAACCATGTCCCCAAGAGGGCCCAAGGCCACCTGGGGCTCACCTGCCTCCTTTCTTCCCCAGGTCTTTCTTCAGGGAATCAATGAGCCCCTAGTCAACAACCCCAGCCCCATGGTGGTCATTGCCCGGGTGGTTCCCAACTACACGGAGTTTAAGTGAGTAAGGCCCAGGTGGTATGAGCAAGGAGGGGGAGGGGAGGGCAGAGGACAAAGGAGGGGGATAGCTAGAACCCTGCCCTCCCAACAAGGCCCTTCAAGCCTCCCCACTGGGACTGAGGTCCCAGGAAGTTGCCCACAGCCCCTGGAAAGAGGCAGCTTAGATCCCTCCTGAGAGCAGGCTGGGGGGAGCCAGCACACAGAGGAAGAAATGGGCTCCTCAGCCCTTTCAAATTTACCTCCCCATCTCTTAGCCACCACTCAAGTTCAGGGTCAAGGTGGTTCACCATCTGGTGGTTGTTCCCAAAGGAGGAAGCCTAAGGGTCATATCAGAACTTCATGACCTTTAGCCTTGCCTAGGGGTCCCCTCCCTTGCCTTCCTGGAGGTCTCCCTGGCTGCAGCTCCAGCTCATCCCCCTCCCCCAATAGCTCTTTTTGGGTTTGGGGCATTCACAGTCCTCAGGAGGGGATTCAGGCTAGTTCAGCCACTGGAGGCCACACAGTGTGGGGAGTTTCCCAGTGAACATGTGCCCTCTGACAGCACCATCTCCTGGAGCTGTCTACCTCTGTCAGTTCCACTGACTGATGGCCAGGGAGGACTCCTTGACTCATCTGCTTCACCTGTTGAATTCTGATGACCTGTGATCCCTCCTTGCTGGTTGGAAGAATGAAGATAACTGATGCGCTCACTCCCAGCCCTCCTATGAGCTCAGAAAGTGCACGCGTGCTCACATACATACCCTGAATCCCATCCCTTCAGCCTCCATGTCCCCCAAGCCTAAACCAGAATTCCCACCACGGGGGTGGGTCATTCTGGCAAGGTCTTCCAAAGGTGAGGCAGGGATGCAAGGCCCGTTTTAAAGATGGGCAGCTGAGGCCCATGGTCATGGTGAGTCTTGGGGAAGGAAACCTGGGAGCTGCAGCCCACCCCCTGACCAAGATTCGCTTTCTCAAGGCCCTCACTAGTGACCAGAAGGACCAGGGCCCATTACCTGTCCTAAGTAGGCCACTGTACTCTCCTCTATCACATCAGTCCTGAGTCTACTTGGGAGCTCTTGGCTGCCAGGCTTGGGCACAGCGCCAAGAGTGCTGGACACCTGAAGCACTCTTATCTTGACACCTGTCTCTTTGCCTCCCTAGGGTCAGTCAAGCAAACCAGGACCCAGCCTCCCTGGGGTTGCCCATCACCCCACTCTCCTTCCCTATTCCATCCGTGATAAACTTTGATGTTCCTCAGGTCAGCCAGAATGGGTGCCCTCAGGTATGGCTCGTTCCCTCTTCGCTCTCTCACTGGTCCAGACCTCTAGGAACTCACCCCTGAGTTCTTTGTCAGTCACTCAGGCAGCTGTTCACTTGACTATGAGTTCACTGGATCCACCATGTGCGCAGGGCTGTGCCGTCTGTGCTGTGGAGAAGCTGCCCACAGGGAGCTCTGGGTCTGGTGAAAAGGGTAAACATCAACACAAGATCACGTATAATCTAATAACAAACCAGGAGCTGTAAAAATCAGAGGAGCAAAAACAGAAAAAGACAAGTATTGTGATTCCACTTACAGGTGGTACCTAGAGGAGGAAAATTCAGAAAGTAGAATGGTGGTTGCCAGGGACTGGGGGCAGGGCAGGGAGAATGGAAAGTTAGTGTTTAGTGGTACGGAGTTTCTGTTCTGGATCTTGAAAAAGTTCTGGAAATAGATAGTGGCTAAAATGGTAAATTTTTGTCTTGTATATTTCACAATAAAAGAATTGTTTTAATCAGAGGTGAGAGGGATGTGAAGCTTGGGCATCCAGCTACAGGACTTGAGTTTTTAGCAGGGAGGGTTGGTGCAGGGCCAGTGGGAACAAGAGCACAGATGTGCAGGTGGGGATACATGTCAGGGTTGGAGAGGAGGCAAGTGTGTCTGAGTATGTTGAGGAGGGGTGTGCAGAGCATGTCTGGGTCCAGGCAAATGGCCAGATTCATCTTTTCCCATGGTCTGCACTTCAGCAGGAGCTTGCCCCATATGATGGCCCCAGCATTCCTAGGGGTCTTGAAGACAAGGGTAGTTGGGAAGTCCTTCCTGTTATCTGCCCACCAGTGTTCATGCCTGACATTGCAAATATAGAATGAGACACTTCTTCGGAGCCACAACCTTCATTTAAAGGCAAAGACATTTGAAGACGGCTAGGACACAGACAAGAGTGATGGTGGTGGGGAGGGGTGGAAAAAGGGGGACCCTGGGGACAGAGGCTTCAAACCCAAACCAATCCTTAACCTGATTTCCCCAGAGTCATCTCACACATGGCCCTGCATTTACCCAGAAAATTATAAACCAATCAGTAGGTAGTCCCAAAGGACAGGAGGCACTGGCTGCTTTAATGAGTGAGCCCCTCCCCACCCCCAGCAGTTTTCTGGCTTCTTTTACTGCCTAACTAGTCTGGATGGGGGAGGTACCCCTTACTATAGAGGCTTGTCCCCAGTGCCTCTCACATATATGGGACACAAGGCCAGAGGTCCAGCGATGGCAGAACACTTGTTGAAGGTCCCCAGGTACCATGGCAGTAGGGCCAGGTTGAGCGCTCACTGGTAGGTGGCACAGAGGTGCCCAAGTGCCAGCAGTGAGAAGTGAGCTTCTATGGTACAGGTGAGGAGTGGGAAGTAGTGAGCTCCTGTGGTATAAGTGGTAAGAGGGGGGTAGTGGGCAGAACCTCACCTGTAAGGGACACTAGTCAGCAGCCCTGGGCTCAGAGCTCACACAGACCCCTGCCCTGTCCCCTCTCTGAGCTTCAGGCCCCTCTTCTCTCTAACTGGGGCAGTGGGGTTGGACTAGGTAATTCTAGGATCTGTCTCCCTGACATTTTGGAGTGCTGTGATTTCCCACCAGCTGTCTGCCATGCCAGAGCACGATGGGCAGGGATTTGAGGCTGGATCCCAGCTCTGTGACTTACTGTGTAACCTTTGACAAGCTACTCAGTGCTCCAGACCTAATGATTCTGACCTTGTTGGACTATTAGGAGAACTTAAAGGGCTAACCTGTGCAAAATGCCCAAGCCCAGGTCGGAAGCTAAATGGGTTCCATTGCTTTCAGAGCTGCCCCTCCCTTGATGTCAAATGACCCCTCTGAGGCCAGTCTGGCATTGCCCTTGTCACATTTGGCTACAAGTAATAAGTAATGGGAACCTCAACTCACATGGACTTAAATTCTAAGGAGATTTACTGTCACACATCGAAAGTGTCCCTCATGTTGGATGCTGTCAGAATTGGTTGATGTGCCAGCTCAGAAGTGTCCTCAAGGACTCAGGATCTTTCTGACACCCCTGAAATGCCATCTTCAGCTGGCAAACAACTCATGGGGGCAAAATGTTCCCAGTATCCCATCTAGACATGACCAAGACTACACGAAAAGGATTTTTATGAGGAACTTGAAACCTCCCCCACAATCCCTGACAGAACACCCCTCTCATCTCATTGGCCAGAGTTAGGTGACATGCATTTCTCTCAGCCAATCACTGAGGAGGAGTATGGCATCACCTTGGGCAGCTAATGCAAGCAGGTATGGAGAAGGGGGCGCCCTGGCCCAAAGTGGGTTCTGTTGGCAAGGAGGAAGGAGGGAAATGATTGAGAGGTAGGCGGCCCTCCGTGTCTGCTCACCCCCCTTGGCACCTGGGAATGATGGCGAAATCTGAGCTCTGATGAGTCTGATGGGCCAGCACAGGTGGGACTTAAGGTTTATTCCTACCCTGCTCCCAGAACCTTTGAGGGGGGACATTGCCCAATAGGCTGCTCCTATTGGCCTGGGCTCCTACAGAGCTGAGGCAGAGCTCCTGGCTGATGAAACACAAGCAGTGGTGAAGGAAGGTGTCTGTGCCCAGCATCATCTCCTCCTGTCTTAGCCTCCATAGCCAGTCTGTATCCAACCCCTCAGGGGGTACCTTGTCATCCCACAGATCCTGCCCTAGTGTTGGCCAAGCTTCCACTCAGGCCTCTTCCATCCATCTTGTGAGAAGCAGCCACAATGACCCCCTGCCCAGAGCTAGGCCCTTCCCCTGGACCCCTTGTCCCTGTCACCAACAAGTCACTGTCAGCCAGATACACAGGCCTCATTTCCTTCAGCCTCCTGGCTCACTGCTCCAATTTTCACAGGCATTCTCTAGTCCTGCTAGGTAACTGGCTGTCCTCCACACCTCTCAATCTTTGCCTCTGCTGTACTCTGAGCCTGAATCGTCTTCCTCCTCCTTACCTACTGCATGATTTTAGGTCCTCCCTTCTCCAGGTCCGAAGTCATTGCTTTCTCCTCTGACATCTCAACTCTCACAACCCACAAGTTGCTTAGGCCTCTGCATGGATCATAGGGGTGTGTGTGTGTGTGTGTGTGTCCTATCCCCTTGGAAGATGAGCTCCGGAGGGGAGCAGGCTCTGGCTCTAGGTCCCCCATATGCCCTTCAGCACTCCAGAGGCATCTAGCATGAGAAGCCCCCAGTCAACATTTGCTGAATTCAATTGAACTGAACTTTCACCTTCATAGCAAAATATCTATTGTCTCTTTCAACCCTCACAACAGCTTATCAAGACATGGAGCATTATGCATTGGACAGTGACAAATCTAAGTTACAGAGAGGGGAAGGGACTTGCCAAAGGTCACACAGCAAGGTTGAGATAGACCCAGTCCCCAAGCTAAGGCATCCTAGCTCCCTTGAGGCCCCACCCAGCATCAGCTGTTGGCAACTAATCTTCCCAGGATGGCTGCCACATGCCTGAGCAGAACAGGCAGGTGTGGGTGTGGGTGTGGGTGTGGGTGTGGGTGTGGGTGTGGGTGTGATGGGCCCTGGGAAATGGAAGGAGAGACCATGGGCCATGTAATGAAGACTCTGTCTCCAGGGAAGGCAGGTCTGCCTCAGTGGTGGAGGTTAATGGCTTTGCTGAAGATCCCAGCTGAAGATTAATCACATTCTTTAATTCCATAGCCCATGGCCTTTCCTGTTAGCAATTGAGGGAATTGGCTTCCCCTTCACCCTCCTCCCCCACGCCCTCTCCACCCTAAACATGCCAGTAGCACCTTCACCAGGGCCGTGGCATCAGACTCTAAAGGTGGTCTAACCTTGATTCCTTCCTTAATTCCTTGCTCCCCCACCCGACTCCCTGCCTACTACACACACAGGAGAGGCTGACCCTCCCTCATCAAATCTAGGTCTGAAGAAATCTTTTCTGGGACTCATCCTGGGAAACCATTCAGGGAAGGAGCCACCCGTACTGGGCAGGCAGACACCATTTCTGGCTTTGTAGACTTAATTTAGACACATGAATAGACCACAGAGAGCACAGCCAGCATCCACTAAATACCCCTCCTCCAGGGTGGAAGCAAGGGGTAGGGCCACAGGGAGACTGAATCACAAGCCCTTGAGTGCCCCAGTGCCTGGCAGATGGTCCAGGATATGTGGATTCCCCTCTGGCACCCAGGAGAATGGGGTGGTTTGGGGGTGGCAAGGTTTGGGAATCAATCTTAAAAGGTCACTCCCAAGTGCCACAGAACCCAAAAGCAGCTTCTCTGGCTTGGCCTGATGGCCAAGTGGCTGTCTGGGTGTTGCCACCGTAGCCTGCTCTCAAGAACACTCCCATCACCCCAGTCACTGTTTGAGTTCAGGCCCCCAAAGTGACTGCAACCCATCTCCCGAGGGGGGAGGGGCAAACACAAATAAGCCTCAGATTGGGCCTTGGAGGGCTGGAGCAGGTGTATTAGTGTGACAAGCGTCAGGGTCCTGCCACCGCCGGGGGAGTAGACCCACAGATTTTTTGTGATGCCGCATCAATAGCTCCTGGAGCCCAGTGGTGCATTTGTGCTGACCTTTCCAGTGATGACTGATTCTCCAGGGGAATGGGAGGTGGGAACAGCTACCACTGTTGCTGACAGCCCCTGGCTAGGGACAGAGGCAAGACAGCCACTTGGAGAGTCTGCACCGATGACCACCATCCCCTCCCTGTGTAGGGATGTGCAGGACTGCCTGCTAGGGTTATAGGCTGACACTCCATGTCTCATTCCCACTCCCCACATTCTGGCCTTTGCAGAAACTAGGCCTCCTCCACCTGGAGTCCCTCATTGTTCCAGGCACCCTCCACCCAAGCCACACTTGATGCCACTGCCACATTTTTTCTGGGGCTGTTTTCCCACCCAGAAGACCTTCCTCCCCCCCCTCCCCATCTTCCTTCAGAGACTTCCACTGGTCCCTCTTCCTACAGGATGGCTTTTCTGACCACCCCCAGAAGTTGCAGCCCCTTATTTGGGGGCTATATAAATGCTGTCTTGTCTCATTGTTCAAATAGTACTCACATAGTGCACCTGCTGCTGGCTTACTGTCATCAAGCCCCCTGAAAATCCAGTGAAAAATTGTCATGGCCTCTGCAAGGGGTTGGGAAATGGGTGTGTGACAGAGAGGGGCTGGTAACAAGGGCAGAGGTCATGTCTAATTTGGCATCTATGACACCACCCGCCATGGATGTAAACATTGGTGAGACTCTTTAGGAAAACAGCCCACCCATAGTGAATCTGGTGCCTTAAAATATGCATTTCCTTGAACTCAGATTTCCATTTGGGACACCAAGGAAATCATTTGAGATACAGAGAGATGTGTCGAGGACAGTTCATGCAGTGTTATTATAGAAAAAATAAGAAGGGAGAAGCCAGGGCACTTGGACATGACAGAATATCCAGCTACTAAAGTCCTGGCTGACAAGTGTTACTTCTAACTGGATACACTTAGGTTTTTATGGTAAATGAAAAAAGCAGGATGTTAGAATAACAATTACATACAAAATAGGTATAGGAAAATACTAGAAAAAATGTACTGTCTTATGAACAGTTGCCTTTAGTTAAGGGTTTTTAAAATCTTTCTAATTTTATGTATTTCCCCAAATTTATTCATTAAGTGTGTGTTGCTTTTATAATTGAGCCAAGGGTTTACGGCATATATAGACATACACGCACAACCCAATATCTGGACATCCCTTGTTTTGGGAAAAGCTGTGCCCCACCATCCGCTCCCACCTCCTCTTTTCAGTTGTCCAAACCCGGGGGACCCCCAGAGCTGCCTCTGTGGAATCAGTCCTTCCTCTTCCAAGGCCGAGACGGAGCCACCAACTTCTCAGAAGACACCGCCCTGGTGCTGGAGTACTACTCTTTGCCTTCAAGTAAGTCCCCCTCGTGCCATGCCAGGGCAACCGCAACACCAGGGCAGCTATGTCAGGACATACCCGTGAAAGGGTTTTCAGAGCATCCGGCCTCTGTCTCCTGCAGGGATGGGCTCCAGGGCTGCCTCCCAGCTCATGCAGGCAGGCAGGGGAGTGCCGGGCTGGCTTCCTTGTCCAAATGGCAACTCTGGGGTATGGGACCTACTCCCATACTGGGTCCATGTGTTTTTATTGCACCACCAACCTTCCCCATGCACCTATCAGTGAGGTGGGTAGAGGTGGAGACCTCAGGGCTCACATCCTGGAGGTAGGGAGGAGACAGATTCTGAGAACAGCTGATCTACAGTCTGCAGTCCGCACTATAACACTGAAGCGCCCAAAAGAACGGGGACAAGGGAGATCCATATAAACACCCAGAGACAGGAATATGCTTAGAGCTGGACTTGAAGTCAGGATGCCCTGAAGAGCAGAGGAGGAGGAAGATATTTGTGCAGGCAAAAGCCAGGAGGTGGGCAACAGGTGGGTGGTGAGGGATGGGAGAACTAAGTGTTGGCTACCAAAGGATGGGGCCCAGGTGGGGCTGGGATCCGAGAAGCCCGGGGTGGGGACTTTGGTGGGAACTCCAGCTTGTACTCCCACCCCCCACAGTGAAAGGCAGTGAGTCGTGGACCTTCAGCAAGCCCCTGGGCGTCTCCGTGTTGCCATTAAAGAGCCGTTTGTACTCCAAGATGCTGAGAGAGGAAGGCTTGAATGGGTTGCGAGTAGAGAGGCTACCCATCACTGTGAGTTCCCAACCCTGGGCAGGCCCACCCACTACCACACTGCCCTGCCCTGCCCTGCCCTGCCCTGCCCCACCTTGTCTCACCAACACAAACACATCTGGCTTCTCCAACAGCTTCCAGCAGAGCCCCCCCCACTGTTCACTGTCAGGTGTGAGGAGTATCCCCAAACACCAAAAGTCAGTCTGACCCTTGGGCTTGTGATGAAATTGCCCCAGAGCAACTTGGGGAGAAGCATAGGGATGCCCCATGGGATAGCAAGAGCTTAGGCTTCTAACCAGCCAGACCTGAGCTCAGATCCTGACTTACCCTAGTCCTCACTGTTGAAGCTGGGCTAACTTACTTGGCCTCCCTGAACCTCAGAGTGCCCATCTCTAAAATGGGAACATGCTTGTATACAGTCTCTCTGTTTAACAAGAATCAAGAGCTCAAGCTCAAGAGCCAGATTAACTGGGTTTGAATTCTGGTTCCACCATTTACCAGCTTACATGACTGTGGGAAAATTACTTAAAGTCTCAGTGCCTCAGTGTCCTTGTCTGTAAAATGGGTTCATAGTCATAGTACTTTTTTCATAGGTTTTCTGTGAGATTTGGGGGGAAATACCTATAAAGCACTTACAACAGAAAGTTCTCAATAAGCATTAATACGTTATCATCACTGTCTGCTTCTGTACTGCCTTTTTCACCAAAATATTTCTGGCCACACGGCCATAACAGACCTCCACAAATGGGAGCTTCCCTGCTCTGCCAGGACGCCAGTCTGCTCTCCAGGGGAGGCGGGAAGGGTGTGCAGAGGTGGTGAGGGTGAATAAGAAAGGAGGGCAGTTCCTGCCTCTCCCGTGCTCTCCAGCCATAGCGCTCAGTAGGCACCTTCCTAAGTAACCGAGAACAGTGGGCAGAGCAGGGGCAGAAGCTGCCCTGGACTTCATGGTCTGACTGCTCCCTTCTTCTTTCCAGGACACCAAGCTGAAGACCATAAATGGTGAGGCCCCCACGGTGGATCTCTCCTTTCAGCTGCTTTCCTCTGAGGTAAGGCTGAAGGTCAGGGCCTAGAAGTCATGTGCCACCTCCTGTAGCCCTTCAGTGGGTTCTAGCTTCCTTCACACTTGCTGGCTTTGTTCAGGGCTGGGGTCAGGGGCTTTAGGGAGGAAGGAACTGCTGCTTTTTTTTTTTTTTTTTTTAAATATATCTTTATTGATTTCAGGGAGAGGAAAGGAGAGGGAGAGAGAGAGAGAAACATCAATGATGAGAGAGTCATTGATCGGCTAGCCCGCAACCCGGGCATGTGCCCTGACCGGGAATCAATCCCTGATCACCTGGATCCTAGGTCGACGCTCAACCGCTGAGCCACGCCTGGTTGGGCGGAACTGCTGCTTTGGATGGAAATGTCTAAGGGTGATTTGAGGCTCCAGAAAACAGAGAGAAAGCTTAAAGGAAAGAAAGAGGAGAGTTGGAGGAGAGCCAACCAGCCCTGGGAGTTAGCCTCTAACCAGGTCTAAGCCAAGCCTGGCTCACTGGGCTCGAGGTTGCACAGGGTGAACTAGGACATCAGCTTCTGTAGCTGCATAACAAACTACCACAAACTGAGCAGCTTAAAATAACACCTACTTATGAGCTCAAACTTTTGCAGGAGGCAGTCCTATACAGGTGGCTGAAATCAGAATGTTGGCAGGGTAGTGTTCCTTTCTGGAGGCTATGGGAAAGCTCACCTTCTAACCTCATTTAGGTTGTCATCAGAAGCCAGGTCCTGGAAGTTGTAGGACTGAGGTCCCTGTTTCCTTGCTGGCTATAAGCCACGGGCCTCTCTCAGCTCCTGAAAGCTACCCACATCCTTTCTCACAACGGCCTCCTCCGTCTTCAAGCAGCAGCATGTTAAATCCCCTCAAACCCCAAAACTCTGACTTCCTCTTCTGTCAGCAGCCACAGAAAGTGCTCTGATTTTAAAGGCCTCACGTGATTCGGTCATGCCTACTCTGATAACGTTCTCATCTTATGGTGCACTGCGCCATATAATATAAGCTCAAGAGTGACAGCTCAGTATGCTCACACGTTCCAGAAACTAGGGTGTGGACTCTTGGGGGCCCATTGTTGGAATTCTGCTTACCACAGCTGGGTTGGTCCATGTGGAAAAATACCAGGGGCTGAGCCTTCCCTGATGGATGAGATTTCTTCCTCTAGCCAACTATACCTGGGCTCTGAGTCCAGATCAGATCCCTGTAATTTGGCCCCAGTGCACCTTGAAGGCACCCACTGGAATTTTCCCACTGCCCCCTCTGTGGTGCTGAGACAGGCATGAAGCTGGAATGTGGGCAGTTTAGAACCATGAACCCAGGAAGTGATGACAGGAGCTGATGTCTGGGTCAGACCACTTAATGCCAGCTTCCCATGCTAGGAAAAATAGCCACCAGCTCTGGGGTAATACTTGGCCCTATGACATTACCCATGAAGAACACAGGGAATTTCATGGTGGGGGTAAAAGATGTAATATCTGGGAATGTACCAGCCTGCAAGTGTCTCCCACAAGGCCTCTGGTGAGTGCCTGAGACCTCCCATTGGCACTCCTGGTTGAGAGTTTGTTAGATAACAACCTGACATCCCCATCACCACCACCAAACTAGGTGCAGGACCCAGAATGTATTGAGAAGGGAGGATCCAGAAACAGCAAAAGACCCCAAAAGAGGGGAAGAAGAGTCCTTGGAGAAAAATGTCACAGATTACCCAGATTGGAACTCAACACTCCACACCCTCTTCTCAGGTTTAGAGCCTGCCAATGGCCACTACCATCCCCTTCCTTACCTCCCCCTGCCTCCTGCCCTTTCACTGGGGCAAGTGTATTCTGAGGACCCAAAGGAGCATCAAGTGATCAGGATACTGGGGGATCCAGGCAGTCAACAGGCAGGTGGGCAAGGCCGTTTCCCAGTTGCCCAAGGCCTGGACACAAAGACCTTGGTGATGAATTATTCACTGGAGCTGTGCTAAGTGCAGAATTAATCCCTTTCCTTCCAGCTGGCGACCTCACTAAATTATCCCTCCAAGTCATGCGGGAAAATGCTGTGAATTCATTGAGCTGCTGAGTGTTTTGATCTGGGCCTTGTG